TGGCATAAACATTTCCATTGCATCAAAAAGAACAAAATACCTAGAAATAAACTTAACCAAGGAAGTTACCTATACTGTGAAAACTGTAAAACACTGATGAAGGAAACTGAAGATGACACAAAGAAATGGAGAGATTTCTTGTGCTCTTGGATTGGAAGAATCAACACTATCGAAATGGCCATACGACCCAAAGCAACCTGCAGATCCCATGCAACCCCTGTCAAAATACTCACGACATTCCTCACAGAACTAGAACAGACAGTTCCAAAATCCAGTTCACTTAGCGTGCACAAGGTCCTGAGTTCAATCCCCAGTACCTCTGTTAAAAGAATTTTTTTTAAGTGTACAGTTTATTCAGTGGTTTTGGTATTTTCAGGGTTGTATGGCCATCACCACAGTCAATTTTAGAACATTGCATTTCCCCAGAAAGAAGCCCCGCACCTTTTAGCGGTTGCCCACCCTAAACTCCCCATCCCCCACCTCAGGCAGCTGCTAATCCGCTTTCTGTAGATGCACCGACATTCCATGTAAGTGGGATCATGTGGCAGGTGGTCTTCTGTGACTGGCTCTTTGGTCCAGCGTAATGCTTTCTGGGTTTGTTCTCGCTGTGGTGTGTATCAGTGCTTGATTCCTTTTTGTAGCTGAATAATATTCCACAATGTGGATATACCACATTTTACTTATCCATTCATACACACTGATGGACATTTGAGTTGTTTCCACCTTTTGGCTATTAAACACAAGTTTTTTAGTGGCCACAGGCTTTTGTTTCTTTGGGGTATGTGTCTAAGTGCAGAATTGCTGGGCCACATGGGAATACTGGCTCACTTTTTGGGGATCTGCGGACTGGCGTCCAAAGTAGCTGCACCTTTCACATTGTAACCAGCCATTTTTCATGGTTCTGATTTTTTCAGATCCTAGCTAGTGTCTGTCATTATCTGGTGACTTACTGATCATAGTCATAGTGGTGGTTGTGAAGTGGCATCTCATTGTGCTTCCCTCCTGATTGGCAGTGTGAAGCATCTTTGTGTGAGTTTATGGGCAGTTTGTATATTCTTTGGAGAAATGTCTGTCCAGCTCCCTTGCTCAGCCAACCCTTGGATTTTCTTTTTATTACTGACTTGTGTATATATTCCTGATACAAATTTCTTACCAGTTGTATGATTTGAAAAAATTTTCTCCCAGAAGAACAAAGCTGGAGAGATCATGCTCTGACTCCAGGCTGTACTACAAAGCTATAATAAACAAAACAGTGTGGTGCTGGCACAGAAACAGACACGTGGATCAGTGAAACAGGCTGGAAAGTCCAGAAATAAACCCACACACTTAAGGTCAGTTAAACTATGACAAAGGAGGCAAGAATGTACAATGGAGAAAAGAAAGTCTCTTCAATAAATGTTGCTGGGAAAACTGGACAGCTACCTGTAAAAGGCTGAAATTAGAACATTCTCTAATGCCATATACAAATAAACTCAAAATGGATTAAAGACCTAAATGGAAGACTGGGAACTATAAAACTGGGTGCTATAAAAGCCAGAAGAAAACATAGGCAGAACACTCTTTGATATAAATTGTAGCAAGGAGGTTTTTTTTTCTCTTAAGGCAAAGGAAACAAAAGCAAAAATAAACAAATGGGACCTAATTAAGCTTCAAGCTTTTTCACTGCAAAGGAGACCATAAACAAAATGAAAAGACAACCTACTGAATGAGAGAAAATATTTGCAAATGGTGCGACCAATAAGGGGTTAATATCCAAACATATAAATGACTCATACAACTCAATAGGAAACAAAAAGAAACCTGATTAAAAATGGGAAGAATGCCGAAATACTCATTTTTCTAAAGAAGATATACAGATGGCCAACAGGAGCATGAAAAGATGCTCAAAATTACTAACCATCAGAGAAATGCAAATCAAAACCACATTTGTGTGTGGTCTGCAGGGCGCCCGGCTTTATTGTTTTGCCCTTGGATGTCCAGTTTACCTCATGCCGCTCATTGGAAAGACCTCTTCCCACCAGAATTACATGGGCACCCTTGTTGTGAATCAGCTGACCACACGTGTGAGGGTTTGCTGGGCGCTGTTCTAGTCCAGTGCTCCGTGTGTCTGTCCTCGGGCCAGTCCTGCGCAGCCCCGCGCACTGGAGTTTGGCAGTGAGGGTCTGAGACTGGAAAGTGTGAGTCCTCCAGTTTTCTTTCGTTCAGTGTTGTTCTGACTGTTCCAGGTCCCTTGCGTTTCCATCTCGGTGCCGGCATCAGCCTGCCCGTCTGCGAGGCCAGCTGGAGTGCTGACAGGGATTGTTTGAATCTGTAGATCATTCTGGGATTCTTACCAGCTTCGCGGTGTTGAGCCCTCCAATCCACTGACACAGGATGTGTCTGCACTTCGTGAGGTCCCCTGCCTCTGCTTTTCAGGTTGGGAGCCCCTTTCTAACTGGCCTGTCCTTTCAGGCTGCGTCTCAGTTCTGAGGACAGTAGTTTAAGAACTATTACAACCTCACTAATTATCAGAGAAATGCAAATCAAAACTACAACGAGGTATCACCTCACACCAGTCAGAATGGCCGTCATTCAAAAGTCCACAAATGACAAATGCTGGAGAGGCTGTGGAGAAAGGGGAGCCCTCCTACACTGCTGGTGGGAATGCAGTTTGGTGCAGCCACTGTGGAGAACAGTATGGAGATTCCTCAAAAGACTGAAAATAGACTTACTATAGGATCCAGCAGTCCGACTCCTGGGCATATATCCAGAGAAAAATATAATTTAAAAAGACACCTGCACCCCAATGTTCACAGCAGCACTATTTACAACAGCCAAGACATGGAAATGACCTAAATGTCCCCAAGAGAAGACTAGATAAAGAAGATGTGGTATATTTATACAAAGGAATATTACTCAGCCATAAAAAGAATAAAACAATGCCATTTGCTGCAACATGGTTGGACCTGGAGATTGTCATACTAAGTGAGGTGAGCCAGAAAGAGAAAGAAAAACAGCATATGGTACCACTTACATGTGGAATCGAAAAAAAGAACACAAATGAACTTATCTACAAAACAGAAACAGACTCTCAGACACAGAGAACAAACTTACGGTTACCAGGAGACAAAGGGGATGAGGAGGGATAAACAGAGTTTGAAAACTGCACCCCTGGGGGAGGGATGGAGGGTTCGCTGTCTTGATTGTGGCGGTGGTTTCATGGGTGTCTGTGTCTATCACAAGTCACCAGGTTGTGCGTCTGGGATACGTGCAGCTGACTGCACGGGAAGCGTACCACAATAAAGGTGCTGAAAACAAACAAAAACAGAACGATCTACGACAGCGGGTGTGAAGCTGGTGGCCGGCAGGCGGTCTCCAGAGCTCCGCATGTGTTTCTGGGCAGCTTCTGGTCGGAATTCTAATCCGGGTCGAAACAAGCCCCCACCAGCCTGTCGCTGCATGGACCGCGGCTTCCCAAGCTGGTGGTGCAGGGCTCGCGAACCCAAAGACCCTGCCAGGCCTTTGCCCTCCCTGCGTTCCGCAGCCCCTAGGAAGATGGGTTTTTAAACTGTATTCTGGACGTTGTACCTTACAGGGAAGTAAAACCGCAGCGCAGCCCTCTCCACCTGGGCTCACATCAGGGCCGACACCCACTCACGCCCGTGCACGCCTCACATCTCAAGGCTGCTTTTGCTTTCCTCCTTTTATTCAGAGGTAGTGTTAGGTTTTCAGGGTTGCGGTGGAGTCTAGCGTCCCCGCGTCCCCGTCACCGCCCCCTGCAGGCAGCAGCGTGACAGCCAGTGGCACGGTTTCCAAAACCACCGTTGGCTCAGCGCGTCTTCCGACTTAACCGGTTCTTCCTCCGCCGTCTTTCCTCCGCCCCTGGATCTCGTCTGGTTGTAGCTCTGCTGTCATTGTTGCTCTTTCCTCATCTTCTCAGGGGTGCTGGTCAGGCTACCTGACCACCTGATGGGGTCAGGGAGCTCGGGGGGAGGGCACCACAGAGGCCCATCCCCTTCCTGTGACAGCCGGTCACCGTGACCTGCTGCTGGTGACGTTCATCTTGATCCCATGGGGAAGGTGTCGTCACCACCGTAAACTGAATTCACAGGTTTCCCTCTCTGGACTGTTGACCACAAGGGAGCCGTCATGTCCAGCCCACCCTCAGGGGGAGGGGGATTGAGCACCACTCCTGGAGGGAAGGTACCCGAGAATCTGGGGGGAGACGCCCGGAGGCCGTGCGGAAGCCCCAGGCAGTCCCTCCAGCGCAGTGGGCAGGCGTCTGCTGCACGGGGGTGAGTCGCTGTCCTTCCCGCCCCATCTGCTCTTGTTACCTGGGGTCTCCTGTGAGACCCTCCGTCTCCGTGACCTCTCCCGGGCCTCACTCCGGACACTGGTGGCTGCCTGGGGCCCTGGGTGGGAGCAGGACTGCGGGCCGTGTCTCAGAGCAGCTGGTACTGGGCACACGAGGTGTTAGCGCCCTGCCTGGCCCCAGTGGGGGTCGGCGGTCGGCCTCCCTGTTTCCTCGCAGGCTTACCTCTCAGTCACCAGATGGAGATGGACGTGTCCATCCACCCGTCCCGTGGTGTGGACCTTGGTCTGCACCGAGTTCTTACTGGAGGCAGCAGGAGACATCCCTGCCCTGCGGGGCTGCTTCACCCCACACAGGGGCTGTGGTCTCCTGCTCGAGGGCGCGGCGGGAAGGAGGCACTGCTGAGACCTGACTCCATGTGTCCTGGGGGCCTTGTTCCCGCCCAGTCCTGCCTCCTAGCCCTCAGGGGGAGGTCTGCCTGTGTCTCCTGGGGGGCTCCAGGAGGGCAGTGAATGGGGCCTCTGCTTCCGAAGGGCCACAGTGGGCACTGCCCTGGGAGCTGGCATTGGCCAAGGCTGGGGGGCAGGCTGGTTTCAGGGTGTGCGGGGCCGTGCGGAGTTGACCGGTGAGGCCCTAAGTGGGTCCCCCAGGCACCGCGGCCTCCCCGAGCTGGAGGAGTCAGCGTCTAACACGCTTTCTGCTTCCCCAGCGCGTCTACTACCTCTCGCTGGAGTTCTACATGGGCCGCACCCTGCACAACACGATGGTGAACCTGGGCCTTCGGAGCGCCTGCGACGAGGCCATGTATCAGGTATGGCGCCAGTCCGGGCCCCACACGCCCGCCCCGCGAGGGGAGCCGGGGAAGCGAGGGTTGAGTGGGAGGCAAGGCCTGGGCTGCCAGTGCGCCAGGCTTCGAGGCTTCCCGACCGCCGGACCCCTCGCCGCCCAGGCGGACTTACCTTGGCCGGAAGAGGCGGCCCTGCCCCTGTCTCTTTGCTCTGGAGCTAGTCACCCGCCTCCAGCCCCTGCCGGGCCCCCACTCAGAAGAACCTGCCTTTGCCCGGATGCCTTCACTGGCTCTCACTCTCCTGGAGGCTTAACCCTTTCACGGGTCACCCGCAGTTTTACAGCAGAGCTGGAGTTGGTCACGTTTGTTTTTTTGCCCCCCGCCCCCACCTGGACGCTTGGGGTGGGACTCCAGAGGGTGAACCTGCAGCCTCCTGGCCTTTGCACATGTGGAAGGGAGCCTCACTCTTGGAAATTGCTGTAGGAGTCAGTATTTTGAAATTCAGTTTTGAAGTTTGAAAGTATTTGGAAATCTTATTTGAGTCAGATTGCTGTATGTGTTTGTACCGTTTGATTTAATAGATACTAAATCGTTTCTCCATGAGTTTGATGTTTTTATTTTCTCACAACTCTGCTTTCACCCTTCGCAGTGTATCAGATTCTCACAGTGTGGTCCGGAGAGCCCCGGGCCCCGAGACCTTCCCGGGCTCCTCTAGGTCGGGACTGACTCCTGTTCTCCCGTGTGTGCGGTGGGCCGTCAGAGGCTCCGTCCCGTGCGGTGCCACACGAGAGGGAAGCAGGATGTGCATTAGAGAGATATGTAGAAATATAAAATACTCTTTTTAGTACACCTTTTTAGTTTTAAAAAATGCAGTTATTTTTTCATTAAACCATAGCTGCACCCTCACCACCTTGACTGTTAAGTCTTAAGTCTTTTGGCAGCTTTTGAAATACTTGGGAACTTTCATTTTCATGCGTTGATTAAACAGGTTTTTTTTAGTTGAAGGAAAGTTGCTTTGCAATACTGTGTTAGTCTCGGGTGCAGCACAGTGACTCAGCGTAGCGTGTGTATGTATATGCCTGTATTCTTTTTTTCAGTTCTTTTCCATTATAGTTTGTTGCAAGAAATTGAATCTAGTTCTTTGTGCTGTACAGTGAATCCTTGTTTATTTTATATATGGCAGGCTGCATCTGTTAATCTAATACTCCCCATTTGTCCCTCCCACCCTTCCCCCCGGTAACCGTAAGTTTGTTTTCTACGTCTGTGAGTCTGTTTCTGTTTGGTAAATACGTTCACTTGTGCTACTTTTTAGATTCCACAAATAAGTGCTGTCATCTGGCGTTTGTCCTTCTGTCTCTGTGTGACTTCCTTCACTTAGTACGACCATCTCCAGGTCCATCCATGTTGCTGCAAATGGCGTTATTTTATTTTTTATGCTGAGTAGTGCTCCATTGTGTAAATATCCCACATCTTTATCCAGTCATCGGTGGATGGGCATTTAGGCTGCTTCCATGTCTTGGCTGTTGTAAATAGTGCTGCTGTGAAAACTGGGGCGGATGTATCTTTCTGAATTATGTTTTACTCTGGATGTCTGCCCAGGAGTGGGACTGCTGGACCCTCTGGTAAGTGATTTTGGTTTTTGAGGAATCTCCCTACTGTCCTCCACAGTGGCTGCACCAATTTATGCTCCCACCCGCAATGTAGGAGGTCCCCTTTTCTCCACATCCTAACACGATTTTAACATTGGATTTTCAGGTCTAAAAGAAAGCAGACTCTAACCTTTGATTGATAATTTGCTCACAAGGTTTAAATAACTTTCCACCTGTTGCTTAAGGGGAAATACTACATAGTATTAAAATGTTACCTCTCTTTTTATTCACAGTTGGGGTTGGACCTCGAAGAGCTGGAGGAAATAGAAGAGGACGCTGGCCTTGGGAACGGGGGCTTGGGGAGGCTGGCAGGTAAGCCCGGGCTCTCGTCCAGGACAGGCTTCTCCTGACCAGTGCCTCGGTCCGGGAGCAGTGCCCACGGGGCCAAGCGGCTGCCCAAGCCGGCTCACCCCAGGCTGGCGCCTGTCCCAGCGGGTCCCGTCCCCACCCCGACTGCCGGTGGGCTCCTTCCTGCCGGCTTCCAGTTGCCTTCCCTGCCACTCAGCGGTGCCACTGGCCTTCCCCGTGGCCTCGGGTGACAGCCCATGGGTCTGAGCCCTGTGGCTCCTGGAGCCGCGTCCCTATTCAGCCCGGCTAGCCCTGAGCCTGCTGTAGCGTGCCGTGCCCCTCCCACGGGGGTGATTTACTCAGAGCGAGCCCAGGGCTTGCGTTTGTGGGCCCAGGCCTGACACCCCGGGCCCTGTGCCTGCCTGGTGAGTTGGCTTCCACGTCATTTGCTGGTGTTTTCATGTGGAGTTTCAAATTTTTCTTTCTTCTTAATTTAATCCAGAAGTTTAATAAAGCTGTCTTCTGGATCTTTACTTGGAACATCGTGATTTGTCTTCAGGACATTTCGATCAGAATGAGGGCTCGATTTGGTGGCGTGCGCTCACCTTCTAGGGGCCCCAGGGGCACTCTGACGCCTGGGTTTTCGGCACGTGGATGGTGAAATGCCCCTTTCCAGCCCCCATTTCTGTGTCATCCTTACCCGAGTCGGGGGAGGTATTTCGTGGTGTCACCCCAGCAGGCGGATGGCTTTCACACGGAGTGCGTGGAGGCCGGGGAGCCTGCAGCCTGAGTGAGGGCGGTGTGTTGTGCCGGGCCAGCTTGGCGGTGTTCTCCGTCGGACTCAGGCCCCTTCCCACACCCCCATGAGCTGGCCCGGCCCCAGGCATTCCCGAGAATAGGGCCGGCTGGTCACCCCAGAGTCGCGGCCTGATGCCCCACAGGCCAGCCCTGCACCTGCTTGACTTGGTAGCCAGGCCTGGGCCCCAGTGGCCTCCAGTCTGCTCAGTGTCTCTGATCCCAAGCAGCTCTTTGTGCTGGGTTTGCAGCCTGCTTCCTTGACTCGATGGCCACCTTGGGTCTGGCAGCGTACGGTTATGGGATCCGCTACGAGTTCGGGATTTTTAACCAGAAGGTCGTCAATGGCTGGCAGGTGAGTGCGGCTTGGCTCCCTCGGCCACCTGCAGCCTCGTTTGCACAGAGGCCAACCTTCTGCCGTCTCCCTCACACTTACGGGGGAAGATGTCCGAGGGGCCAGAGGCTGGGCTCTGCAAAGCTCTGAGGAAGGGTGAGCCTCTTCTGAGGCGTCGGACAGCCAAGCAAAATGGTCAAGGCCGTCTGGGCGGAAATGCAGCCCCACCCTCTCCACTGGGCGAGGTGCACGTCTCCCTCAGTTCGGCGTTTCAGAATGGAAGGACAGCTCTCCACGCAGCTGGAGAGTCGTTTGTTTAAACATGTGGAGTCCAGAAGCCAGAGAAAGCAGGGCCAGAGTTAGGATCAGAGTCTGTAAGAGGGAATTATCGCAGTCTGCGTGAAGCCCTCGACCTCAGCCGCGTTTGGGTCCTGCAGGTGTGCGCAGCCGTGCGAGCTCACCAGCGTTGTGCCTGAGCCCTGGGCACGCCACTGTGTGTATACTAACCTAAACATAAATGCATGGTGAGCACGTGCATGCTGCTTTGTCCTGGAGGGCCGTGCAGAAATCTGCAGCTTTGTGCCAAAAACTAACGGGTGGGTGGGCGGAGACGTGGTAAACCAGGCACACGGCCTAGGGCGCCGACTCGGCAGAGCCCAGGTGCCGCGGGTGGGGTGTCACCGCCAGTTCTCTGGCATTTCCGTGTGTTTGAAGGTGCTCATGGTATGATGTCAGCCGAGAGAGGCCTGAGCAAAAGCAAAAAGAGACAAAATGCTTGTACCATCGCTGAACCTACAGAAACGCTCCCTCCAGCCTTGAAGAGAGGAGAGCACCTTCCCTCCGGTGCCTCCCGGGTGACTTTGCTCGCGGTCGTGTGTGCGCCTCGGCTGCGCCCGAGCCTTGCACGTGGGGCTTGGCCCTTCCTGGCTCTTCTGCAGTGAGACAGCGGGTGTGTTTACGAGACAGACTGAGGTTCGTCCCGCCGGGGGGTGTTAGGTCACAGGGAGGAAGGTTTTGGTTTTCTGTCCGTCAGTCTGTTTGGCCACAGACACTTCTTTCTTCTGGTTCCTTGTTCCTGTACCTCTCGCCATCCTGCTTAACAATTTAAAGGCAGTCCTCAGATGACAAGCGAGTGGTAAACTTGCCCCCGTCCCTCCCCGTTGTCCAGGGAGCCAGGCAGGCAGTGAGTGTGGCTGTAGCACATGGAAGCATGGTCCCTAAGCACCCTTGGTGGCCAGACTGCCTGTCACGAGGGGTCTCTGGAGGGGAGACCCCATGCTTCTTGGATCTGGGAAGTGCTGCTTCTGCAGGCAGCTAACTCACTGGCCTGCTCTGGTGAGACAGCCAGGCTGGGATGCTGGCGTCTCATCGCATCCAGGGACAGGCCACCGGGAAGTCAGGTGGCAGGACAGTCCTGCTAGGAGCGCCCTGGAGCAGACCACGGTGAAGCAGCCACCATCCTAAGATGCTCGACGACCCAGCTGCTCTTTCTGGGGACCGGCCGTTAATTCACAGATCCCTCAAAATAACATATGTCGTCAAATTGGAAGAAAAAAGACTTGATCTCATTTAAATTTTAGTTAATTTGGATTCATAATTCTTCACTCACTGCCCAGACAAACTAATTTATTCCATCACTTGGAAGCAGAGAAAGTCCCCAGGGCGAAGGGAAGAGCAGCCCCACCAAACGCTGCTTCTCCAAGGCTGCTCGGGGCCGTGGGCTGCGTCTAACTTGTGGGAGTGGCTTTTCCGTATTTTCTGGTTTTAGGTGGCACTGGGTACAGTTTTGGGAAAATACGCTGCCTGGAGGAAGGCGCCACAGAGGTGGTGCCTTCCGGTGGTGTCTGGGCACCCATGGGTCTGTAAAGCCATTTTCAAAGCAGTGGACTTCCAGTGGTTTTTCGTTTACAGCAGCCTTACTGAGATATCACGTGGTTTTTAATGTATTTAAAGAGCAGGGCAACCATCCTCACTGTATTTCCAAAACATTTTCGTCACCCAGCGAGGAGACCCTCCCATTCACACCCCAGCCCCAGTGCCGGGCAACACTGTGTCTGTGAGGTGGCTTCCTGGACACGTGTGGATGGTCACCCAGGATGTGGCCTGTCCGTATGGCGTGTCTAGACTTGTTCACGCTGCGTCTCAGGACTTCTTCCTGTTTACTGCTAAGTTCAGGGCATCCTTAATGCCTTGCTACTTCGATGTATTTTTCTGAATTTGATGAGTTTTCTTGTTGAATAGTCCTCGGTGTTCATTGTTAAACACTCAGTTGTGCTGTAAGTAGGCCTCGGTTTTTGTTTCCATGCTGGTCGGCGTCCCCAGGACCCACCTGCTGTGGGTCCCTTGCAGGTGGAGGAGGCCGACGACTGGCTGCGCTACGGCAACCCCTGGGAGAAGGCCCGGCCGGAATACACGCTCCCGGTGCACTTCTACGGGAGGGTGGAGCACGGCTCCGAGGGCGTGCGGTGGCTGGACACACAGGTATCGCGGGGCGTGGTGGGGGCAGCGTGGCTGGGGTGGCGTGGCGGCGTGGCACCAGGCTGCAGACAGTGGGAGACGCTGACTGAGCTGCCCTTCACAGTGTAGTCAGTGTTGCGTTGGGTCGAGACCCGCAGTGGTGTAACGACAGGCAGGATGGTCCTGCGCAGGGACAGGCACTGACACCTGGGTGTGACCGGCCCCTGGCTCTCAGTCATGTCCCCCAGGGCAACTCACCAGTAATTCTGAGCTGTCGGAGCCCTGGGCATGTGGGGCCTTGGGTGGATGTCCTAGAATGGAGCGCCCCCACCCCATTGGGCTCTTTGGGGGAACCAGGGTAGGAGCACCGAGCACTTGGCAGAGGGGGTGTATTGGCTGCAGTGGGCACCGGTAAAGGGCGCATGTCTCGGGGCATAGAGCAGGCAAAGAGGCTTCACGGCAGGGTGGCCACGGTGAGGGAGGAACCTCTGTCGGCCCGTGGGGTGGGCAGCTGAGCGAAAATGGGGCGGGTCCACGTGGCCTGGGAAGTCATGGGCATGCAAGAGTGAGTCGTCCGGGTTCTCTGCAGCGTAAGTGATCCGTCAGTCTGGCACCTGGGCCAGAGCGGCTGGTGGCCTTGGAGTGCTGTGATGAGCTGTGTTTGATTTGAAAAAGCAAGAGTGGTGTCTGGTTTTCCAGCTGAATCCACTCGTGGAAGAGGGGGTGTGGGGTGTATGAGGAGGCCCAGGCCGCCGGCATCCCACGCGGATAAGACGAGGGCCTCAGCCTGGAGGGCGGGCTTGCCCAGGCAGGGGTAGGGGCTGGGGGCAGTGGGTCGAGGAGAGGCGAGGAGGGAGGGTGACGCTGGGGCTTCACCTCGAGGCTGCGTCCCAGGGCCCTTTGTGGCTGTCAGGACCGCTTTAGCTCGTGGAGCTGCATGGAAGCACCACCACAAGCTGGCCAGAATCCAAGGGTCCGAGGGCAGAAGTGACCCTGAGGCTTGTGCCCCTCTTCCTGAGCTTGGTGGGAGCAAGGCTGAGGCTCCTGGGCAGGTGGGATGGGGAGGGAGGGGGCGGCCTTCTTGGGGGGGAGCAGGTGCAGTGTGTTCTGTTGGGAGGGGCTGTGAGGCTGGCTGGGTTCTGCTGAGGGTTCGAGGTCAAGGCTTGTGGCAGGAGGGGATGTGGGACATGGGTCGAAACAAGTTGTCTGTGGGCAGGAGGTTGCTCAGGCAGTGCTGAGTGAGAAGATGGCAGGCGGGACCGGGCGCGTGGGAGGAGTGGCTGCTGGGGATGGAAGCAGGCAGAGCTCGACAAGGGAGGCTGACGGGGAGTGGAGTCAGGCTCACCCCCGGCTGCCTCATGTGCTCCTAGCTCGGGACGTGGGGCGGGTGGGCAGGCCAGCATTGCGCCGGGCAGGCTGGGCCTATTCTGAGCAGGAGCGGCCACGGAGGCAGAGGCAGCCTGCGGCTTCCAGAGGGCGGCAGGCGACCAGGCCTGCGGACCATGTCTTCGTCCGCAGGTGGTGCTGGCCATGCCCTACGACACGCCGGTGCCCGGCTACAAGAGCGACACCGTCAACACCATGAGACTGTGGTCTGCCAAGGCACCCAATGACTTCAAGCTGCACGACTGTGCGTCCCCTCCTGTCCCCATCTTGGGGGGGGCCGACCCCAGACTCGTCGTGAGCTGCACTCACACACAGAGCCTGTGAGGGAGGGCTTCCCGGGGACCCCGTGCCCTCCAGAAAGAGCCAGGGGCCTCGCTGGGTGTGGGAGGGCAGCCCTGCAGCTCCAGGCGCCTCCTGCTCAGGAGTGCTTGTCCTTAGGCTGATGGGGAGAAACCACAGCGCCAGGGCCGGAGGAGCCTTGGCCGGCGGGTGGGTCCTGACCCCCGTCTCTGCCCTCAGTCAACGTGGGTGGCTACATCGAGGCGGTCCTGGACAGGAATCTGGCCGAGAACATCTCCAGAGTCCTGTATCCCAACGACAACGTGAGTGGCTCCGTCCCTCCCACATGTCCGCTGAGGCCTGTGAGCAGGTCCAGAAGGCTGGGCACCGTGGCCTCTCCTCTGCCCTCTGCCCAGGAGAGCTCCTGGAGGTTTTTGGCCTTACACCTCCTTCCCTGTAAACACCGGCCACCCCGCACTCTGCAGGCTGCCCCGTGCGGGGCCGCGGAGCCATCAGACCCCTACCCGGCTGGTTTCTGGTTTCTGCTCTTGTTCCCCTGAGGCCAGTTCCCTGAGAGTTGGGTGATGTGTGTCGGGTGGGGTCAGCGGTCCTCGTGTTGCAGTGATGCTTTGAGATGTGTGACGGTCACTGACAAGCTCTTAACGTGCGCCCACCATGTGCGAGGGGAGGGCATCCCAGCCACTCCTCCACTGCCACCAAACAAGCTGCCAGACGAGCCTTGGAGTCTGCCCGGCTCAGTGGGTCATGTGCTTTTTCATTTTGTCAGAGAAACATGTGCTCTCCGTAGCTGAGGGCACCGGGCTCCAAGGCTCACAGGAAGGTCACCCCGCCCCCAACTCGGGAGGGTCCAGCAGCTGCCCACGCTTCCGGCGGGAGGCGTTCCGGAACGCCGCGCTTGGGAAGGGC